AGTCTTACCCATGGCACCTGCGGGACCCCTCAGACCTTCCGAGCCCTGAGGACCCTGGGGACCTGGCAGACCAGCTGGACCGCCAATGCCTGGTTTTCCCATTGGTCCAATCGGACCCTGGAACCGGTGTAGAAGGTAAGAAGAGAAAAAAAGCAACAGTTAGAACAGTCAAGAACTTCAGCCCTGAATGCTCTTTCATCGATTATAGAAAAGGGAGTTACCTTCTGGCCAGGTTCGCCGACAGGACCTTCAGCTCCACGTTTACCACGAGATCCCTATAAAATAGACCAGGAAGTAGATCAGAAAAGTCCACCAGTGCGACAAGTGAGAAAATATTCTAGCGCAACACTAGCATTTAAGATTATCGACAGGAACAATTATGCAGATGGACGTTATAAAAGTAATTTGTCAGTTTAATTTTTATTAAGGGGGTTTGGCAGATTTGCTCAATTCAGTTGAACCAATTGTGAAAAATTCGCGGCTACGGTGGAAATCGGACCCAAACATCAAGGGACGCTTTTGTGCAGCCAATGCTCTACCACTGAGCTACGAGGCTCACCGTGCGCTCTGAATTTAATCACACTTGGATCGATTTTACCCGCCCAACTTTCTGTTTGTAAGAAAACCACCATTACAGAAAGACAAGCTGACTGCCCAGGCAGGATTTCCTAAGTAATCATTTAGAATACACCAGAATGACTACTAGGCTAACTTAATTGTTAGGGAAGGGGGGAGGTTGGTAGATTGGAATAATTCCGTTAACCCAATTGGGAAATATTCCTGGCCTCGGTAGAATGGGTGTGATTACATTCACGGTTTCATTTTTGACCACAGGGATCATTATGTCTACTTAACGTAGCTGATATTCCCTGTTAAATAATTTTAAAATTGGTCACTGGGCTTTCAAAAATGGGTTAATTACACCAAGTAGGTACGGTAATTGTTAAGTGACGAAATATTACACTCTTGCATCGAGATCATAAGCCTTCAAACAAAGACAAAGAGTTAAATCAACAGTAGGCACGCGATTCTTCATCAATATCGAAAAATGGTTACGAAACCCAGATTGGGGAGATTAAATGCCTTTTTTGAAGTGATACAGTAAGTTAAAAGAATAATAAGACCCCAGAACTCAGCGGGACTGTCTTTTGGGTTCATTTTTGCCTTTGACTTATAACAATAACCTACTTTTACATTTTAAGTAGTCCGTGTTTCCCTGTTTCGTTAAACTCCGCCAATGTAAGGTTGAATATCCCTCAATATGCATCAGTTGCCTGAGCAACAGGAGTTTATGCTGATGGAATTGATTATATTTAGTACATTGAAACAAATATAAGCTTCTTTAATTTAATATTTTTGATCACTTCCAACGCACTTTAAATATTCATTTACACTCGCTAACCGAGAATCAAACGTTTAACCGCAAATTACGTAAGACTATTGGGCATGGCGGGGTACAGATATTTAGGTGGCCCTACAAGACAGTTTTGCTCAGAAATCTTTATTTGCGCGGGAAATTTACCCTGAATCCAGTCTGTCCACGGGGACCAACAGAACCGGGGTCGCCTGGATGGCCTTTCTGACCGATTGGTCCGATAGGACCGGGGTCACCTGGCATACCAACGGGACCAGGGGGACCTTCAGGACCAGAGGTGCCACGCGACCCAGAAAGACCCCGACTGCCAGGGAATCCCTTTGCTCCCATAGCTCCAGTGGTACCACGAGGTCCTCGCTTGCCTTGACCACCAGGGGGGCCAACGG